ATGGTGTATCACAAACTTCAGGATTACATGGTCATAGATGTTCTAGCACGTCAAATACAGTGGGACTGATTTTTGCCGCAAATTCAGAGGCAAATAGGACATTACATTTACACAAATAACACTCTCTATGTTTTTTATGAAGTCAGCCCTTAAGAGAAGGCAAAACGGAGGACAGACATTGCAGAAGCGAGGCTCGGGTAAGGATGAAAGGAAAATAGCACCAGCATAGCAACTGAGGAATGTTTTACCACAGTCTTATCTTTGTCAGGTATTTTTTTATGATGCAGAAATGTAGACAAGTTTGTGAACCAGCCTGTCAGCAGTTACCAATAAAGCCCTCCTTAAAGGCTCAGTCCCCCTCCAATTTGAGGTATATTTAATTAAACTGTTTAAAATACAGGTAGAAAATCAGCATTTAGTGTGTTTTCTTGTCGATGTTAATCCTAAATATACTATGCTTGGATCACAAAGCCAGCTAACTTTGGAGTTTTTCTCAGGCATCACAAAGTTGGCTCACTCTTAACTGAGCTAGATCACCATGGTGACCTTCACTGCATGGTTAACAGAGCAGATTCAGCTCAAAGGATCAGAAAGATCAAAATGTGTAAAAAAAAAAACAAAAAAAAACCATACTAACCAACCAGCTCATTTCTACATGCTTGCAATATTTTTTTATAAAGTGTGGCATTTACAATAAACTGAAAAGTAATCATGAGTACCAAGTGATACTTCTAGGAACGTAGAATCACTTTTATGTATCAATGCTTTGTAGCATAAGCAGTTGCCTACTCTGGATTCAAAACGGTGCACTCAACATTTCATTTCATAAAATAAATCAACTAAATTATGTTACTTGAATGTTAATATCTACTGCATCAGTTTTTCAATTTTCAAGTCAACGACTTCAAGACTCCTGTCACAAGACGGCAAGTTGTGTAGTCTGAACAGCATGGCGATCGGCCGACGCTGAAAGCCACGTAGTCTGCAAGAGCCTTAAGCTAAACTTTGAGCCCCTCAATTAGCTGAAGGCGATAACTCTCAGTTTTGTGATTTTGTTTTTTGGGTACCTTTGGGTCATAGACTGAAATGCAATAAAGCTTTGAAGATGAATTAGTTGAAGCAAAGTTTTTAAGTAGAAAAATTAGACAGAGGTATATATGAGTGAAAGCAGTTCATAAGAATGAAACTTGTAAAAAAGACATCTGGAATAACAGTTTGTGAGTCAATCCATTAAAGTGAATGTAAAATGATACACTACATGTACACTAGCCAACAGATGAGTCCCTCATATCTAAATGTTGTTAACTATTGAGCGTGTGTCATTCAGTTTTCTGTCTTGGACTTGTAAACTCACATTCCTCAAAGCACAAATGAAATTGTGTCATTTGTTGTTTTTTGTATCTATTCTGCCTTGAGTCTCTGAACTGCCACAGCAATAGTAAATGAACAAAGGTTGTCTTTCAAAGCTCTTGTGTCAGTGTTCCTTGCACCTTCCAGTGGCTGAAAAGTGAATTTAATTTCTCTTTACAGTGAGGAATCTGCACAGGTTCCTGACAAACAATCTTGTTTTTAATCTCTCCTGAGGCAAATAGCGGACAGGGAGATAAAGCAAGCTCATTTGAACCGTATCTTAGCCTTGTTAAATAATCGATGCTTCTTAACAGCAAGCCCAGATATGGTAACTCGGGTCTGTTTTAAAAGCCTGGAGGCTTTTCTAAAGCTGGATACTGTAATGCTAACTTTTCAGATGAGACAGGTTACTGTGCTAAAATATACAATGGAAATACAACAATGAATGTATTTTGTTTGAAAATTTAAATTAAAATGCAAGCATCGCTAAAACAGAACACTCTACTTCAAGGCTAATATGACAATAACATTTCCCTTTATCTATATCAGCAGAATTAAATCTTTGATTCTCAGCAACTTCCTCACTTCAGTCATGGAGAGGAATCAATCAATCATAGGGGAAAAGAAAGGCTTAAAATACAGAGTGATAATAAAACAAAGGGGCTAAAATGTTAAGAACAGTTATTTTTATCCTGCCCCAATGCAAAAACATCACACCTGCAACAAATCCTGCTCAATATTCTGGGATTCTATCCATCTCATGACAACAAGTGCAGGTACATGGTCAGCGGCTGTTAATAGAGCATTTCTCTCAAAAGCAGAGTAAGGTTGTGTGTTTTGGACAACAAAACTACAAGAGCACAAAAAAGGGTGAGGTGTAGTGGATCAAAGTCCTCTGGTTGAGTGGAATTGCAGAGCTGTGAGGCTGCTTATCATGAGGCATCAGCTGACTAGGTAACATTGACTGTAATAATGTTTATTAATAGTAAATAAAGGGAATTACAGTAATTATTCTGGCAGAACAGTCACTGAGGCAGATGGCATGATCAAAAGACCCATAGTGAGATTGCGTGTTTGTGTGTGTCACAGTCACAGACATTATTATGATCAGGGCATGTCTCGAGGCTCCCACGCGTGTTTCAACATTTTCCATGACTCTGGCTGCCTTCAATTAACAAAAAACAAAGCATCGGAAAATATTGTTTTAGAAAACCCCATGCCCATGAGGCATCTTACAGTTCCCCTCTGCTGGACTACAGCAGCATGACAGAAACTGGGTGGAGGAAGCGCTCGTGAGCTATCTTTCTCCCACCCTCGCTTCATTCCATGGTGCAGACGTGGCCGAGGCTGCGTCTGTATGCTCTTCCCCCAGTTGCTCTGCCCCCAGGGGTTCTGGAGGGGGTCCGTCAGGACGGTGTCAGCCTACTGTCAGTAGCCCCGTCTGGCCAGCCCGAGTGTGGTTTTCTGACATAATATCGCTCCTAAAGGGCCCGCCCTGGCCTGTGGCACTCTGAGGTCTTCCTGGTGGAGGAAAGCAGACCAGTTGCTGGTGTTTCAGGTCCCCCAAGGCTGGGCTCCCTGCTTGTAAACACACCATCAGCAACTGGATTGTTCAGAATATTTCCCTGGCCTATCAGGTGCGCGGTTTGCCTTCACCTATGGCCGTAAGGGCGCACTCTACTCGAGGCATGGCGGCTTCTAGGGCCCTCCTCGCAGGGGCGTTGCTCCAGGATTTGTGTGACGCGGCTGGCTGGGCCACCCTTCACACTTTCATCTGGTTTTACAGTCCGGACCTTCCTTCTGCACCCGGCACCCGTGCGCTCTCCCTCCTAGTCGTGCCGTCAGGTTCTGCACGCTGGGGGCAGGCGGGGTTTCGGTGTGGCCTAAGTGGGTGCCCTCGCATGGGGAACGTCTCGGGTTACGTAAGTAACCCTTGTTCCCCGAGAAGGGGAACGAGACACTGCGTCGGTCCGCCACACCTCACCCCGCCTGGAGTGCCTTGCTTTATAGAAAAGGGCTAATGTGTCCTGTGTGCCGGCATGCTTACTGTATATACGCCTCCGGTTACGCCGTCACACGCTACCGTTCTAGCAACACCAATAGGATTGGAGTAGTTTCATTCATAGTTCAGCCCTGCCACGCCCAGAGGCGTTCCCATAGTGTCGTCACCGACGCAGTGTCTCGTTCCCCTTCTCGGGGAACAAGGGTTACATACGTAACCTGAGACGTTTTTCTCAATTGCTTGACCACTATAAGCAGGCTATTAAACTGAAATTTCAAAACTATAACTCCATTTTACAAAAAGCACACCCATTTCTCTAAACTCTACATACAAATCCCTTCAATTCTCATTGCCTACACTATGTGGTCATTGAGAAAACACTAACATTCAGTATTGTTCACTCAATCAGCACAGGTTGAGCTCAGTTAGCACACAGCTCCCAGGTGAAAACACAAACAGTCAAAATTGAAAACACACCAATCAGAAGCTTCAATAGATAGATAAAAGGGCCAGAGTCAGGTCATTCAGTTTTGAAACAATGGATCCAGAGAAATCTGAAGGAAGAGGTAGAGGACACCAGAGAGGAGGAGAAGGAGGAGGAGGAGCAGGAGCAGTATGGAGAGGAGTAAGAGGTGAAAGAAGAGGAACAGTAGGAGTTGGAGGAGGAGATGGAATAGGAGTAAGATGAGGAGTAGGAGGAGGCGGAGCAGGAGGAGGGTGGATGAGGAGGGAGGAACAGGAGGAGGGAAAAGGAGGAGGAGTATGGAGAGGAGGAGGAGGTGGAGAACAAGAATCTCTGGCCTGTCCCAGACCAAAGACAGGACGCTGGGGCAGAATAATTTGTTATTTGGTGTTGTACAGTACAGTAAGGAATAAAAAATGTGCAAATGTTTACATTTGTTATTTCTTTTGTTGTGTTCATCATGTAAAAAAGGTTTTCGAGGGGGAGAACCACAAGCAACATTACTAATAACCAGTTTTGTAGTATTGTTTGAATTTATCTCACCAGTGTGTAAGACTGTGTTGTAGTGTGTGTGTTTTTGAGGGCTTGTGTGCTATATGTCTGAGGGCAAACTTTGGTTTTTCAGCAAGATTGAATGGCTTTGAGTGGAAAGCTTCATTTTGACCTGAAAATAGGATTTTTGGGGAATTGGGTGAGAAGTTGTGGATTTGTGTTTAGATATTTCGAGAAAAAGAGGCAAAATTTCAAGAAATGTGTCTAAGCAATCGAGAAAAACTGTAATACCCATAAATAAACGTATGAACATTGAAAACACGCCAACAGGTAATACATGAGTTATTCAGATAATAAAATTCATAATTCATACAAGTAAAAACTTGAGAGTGAATGCAGAATGTTGCCTCTTCAACTGAACTCGTCCTAAATTCTGCATCATGGTAGCTTTTTGGCCTATATTTTCAATTGCATGACTTACAAACACAGAACAGGATTTCTCCAGAGATTTAAAACTGTGGGTTTCAGGTTTAGTTTGTTTGATCTAACTACTGATGATTGAACATGTCAATTCTTGCTGGACTAAAATGTATTTGGAAAGCTGTTGTTGAAGGAACAAATGCAATCTACTGCGCTAAACTCCATCCGTCCAGATGGTGGCGGTAATGCGCCAGTGATTTGGGGGGAAGAACAAAAGAAGAAGATGGATCCCAGTAGTTTCTAGAACAAATGTTTCCGGTCGGCGGTATTTTGAGTGAAGACAGGTTAATTCGCGTGCTAAAAACTATTTAGTTTTGTACTTTTCCGGCTTTATCCTGGATAATTCAATGGCAGACCCAGGTATGTGGTAGATTTGGGTTATATATATGTTTACATTGTCAAATATATGGCTGTAGTTTACACTGGAACATGTGATGGCAGTCAGAGTGACGGTGTGGTTTAACAAAGTCGTGCTACCATAAGGCTAACGTTAACTGTGAAAGGACCGTCAAACAACATTTTGACAATCGATGGTGCCTTTAAACGGTGTCTTCCACCAGACACGAGAAGTTTCACATCTTAAATAGACTGTATTGCATATTTCGTCACGAATGTCTACATCTGTAGTGTTGTAAGTTAAGTTAATGTCGCTAACGCTACGCAGCAACTCATACGCAGCAACTCATACGCAGCAAGTTAACATAACTGAATGTTTAACGTTATGTGCCACAGAAAGAAATATAACTTACCTGACGTTTGTTAACATTAACCTACTCATAGAGGAAAGGTTTATTTTGTTGTCGGCTTCAGCAAAGAAGTATTTTAGCAAAACTCCAGACATGTTTTGTATGCTTTAATTTTAATTAAAGTAAACTCTAACACAAAGAATCAGTCACTTTAAATGCAGTTAATATCTAATTAATATTATTGTAATGATTTTGTTATTGGACATCCATGTGTGCACAAACAACCTAATTACTCATTCCAAAAGCCATTATCTCACAGGTCCCAATAAGGACAACATCAGAGCTGGGTGCAAGAAATGTGGATATCGTAAGTAAATCTTTGACCCACAACTTTCATAGCAAGTTCATTTTTTTGTGTTACTATTAGTCCCTTGGTAAAGGTGGGCTTGTTAGTCTGTTGTAAACTTCAGAGAGGAACAACTTATGCAGCTCTTACTATCAGACCAACTGTTTGTGGTAATAGTGAATAGAAAAATGAAGAAGTGGAGCAATAAATTACAGTAGTACACAGATTCATATTCCCTCATAGCCACGGGAAGGGTTAGTTATAATTAAAAAAATAAAGTAAACATTAAAATTGTCCTGCCTTAGTTGTTCATCCATTCTCTCTTGGACATTCATTTTCCAGCGGGCCACTTGACCTTTGAGTGCCGAAACTTTGTCAGAGTTGACCCCCAGAAAGACATTGTTCTGGATGTAAGCAGCACCAGCAGTGAGGAGAGTGAAGAGGATGTTCCTGCAGTTCAGCGCATTGACAAGCTGGGGCGAAGTGGCCAGCATCGCAGAGGTAAAAAAAACTATGCTTCCCTCATCATACAAAAAGGGAGTAAGTAAGTAATTAAAATAGGAAAGAGATGTCCTTCTAAAATCGTCTTGGAAGAACTAATTTACAAATTCACTAAGCAGTTTTACATTCATGTGGCAATAAGATATTGTGAGAATAAGACAACTCTACGTCAGAAGTAATGTATTTGATGCTAATACACACCACAAAACAAAAATATTGCCTGCATTGGACTGTGATGCTTTGTACCGAAAGAGAGGTGGAAAGAATGCTGATGACTCTGGGTTTCTGTAGTTACTGCTGTTACATGATACAGTTTCTATTGTGCTCTTAATCCCTTTTTTTATTTTATTTATTTATTTATTTTTTAACCTTTGGGCAGAACTATAACACAAGACTTTCATTTGGGAAAATATGAGAAAAGCCAGATTAATTCTGCCACCTTTGGAACTCATCAGGTGGATTTTGTCGATTGCATATAGATGAGCCCACGAAGTTCAAGTTGATGAAGTCTCAATGTTGCTAACATTATACATTAGGGGTTTGATGAGGTTTAAAACATGATGGAGTTTCTCGTTAAGAGAAAGTGTCTCAAGAGACACATGCTGTTGACACCTTTCACAGGCTGTCATGCCACACATCAGTATTCCCACACAGTGAAAAACAAATATATAACTGATAACGAGGACTAAAACTAAGACAAAAACGTAGTAGTAGGATGATAGTCTCACTTCACGAATCATCTCCACCCAGCTGATGCAACATCGGCGTACACTGTGGTAGTAATCAAGTGAACCCACATCTCACGCTGAGAGTCGCAACCAGTGTGACCGAGTGGAAACATAACTGGTAGTTTTGCTTAATAAACATCTAAAAACTGAAGCACAAACTTGCTCTGTTTGGGACTGCAAGCTGTTTATAACTGAATTAAAATGAATGAATTTACCATTGAGGTGAAAAGGTGCCACATGCACACTTAAAGGTTATTTTCCCAAACAAAAGAGGAGGGAAGAAAGCCGCATGTGTTGGCTCAGCAGGGACGATATTGCATGACAAAAATTAATCTATATATATCAAATATATCTGTAAGCATTACAGAATGCCTGAGAGCCTTACTGCATAATATTCTGTTTTGTATATTTTTAATTTTTTTGAAAGTTTCCCTTTATGTAAATAAAAACATTTTCACCAATAATTGATGCAGAAATGGGTGCAAAAAATCACCCAGGAAATGCAGGAAATTAACTGTTTAATGCTCAAAATCTTCATATAATTCAGCGTTAAAGATTACTTAAAGTCTTAAAATCTCGTCTTGGGAACCCAATATTGTCTCATTGTGTACTTGCTGTTTTCAAATTACGAGCACTACTTTTCCAGTAAAAAGTGTCTTGATTGTTCTGTCTACAATCCTGCGCAGGTTCCCATGATGACGACGATGACAGAAAAAAGAGACACAAACAGAAGAAGAGCAGAGACAGAATGTCAAGAAAGAGGTAACTTTTATTTTCTTACCTTGGAATTTTTCTGTTCTTTTTTCCACACTGTCCTGAAGATCAGTTTTTTTTTTTTTTTTTTAATACTATTCTTCTGACAACAGAAACAAAAAGATAAACATATACATAAATAAATATATACAATGTATGTAAACATACTGTATCTATCGGACATGTACTGATAAGTCAGTGATTCTTTTACTGCATGAATACATGAATTTCTGTGCAGTTCTCTACTTTTTTTGAAATCAGATATTGGTTTGCTTACATCTTACAGGTTTGTGTCCTTTCAGTGATGTGTTTTTGCTGCTTTACTCCATAGGTCTGCATCGTCATCGAGTGATGAGAAGACCGGGAAGAAGAAAAAGAAACGCAGCAGGTCCTGCTCCTCGTCTGACGAAGAGAAGAGGAGGAAGAAAAAGAAACTGAAAAGCCACAAGAAGAAAAGCAAAAAGAACAAAAGGGAACAGGGGAAGAATCACAAGAAGAAAGAAAAAAAGAGGAAACACAAATCCTCATCTTCTTCTTCCAGCTCCAGTGAATCTTCAGACAGTGACTGAGACAACTGAACATATTATTATTTGCAGACATTGTATAAATAAGAAACCTCATCTTGTCCACCAACAAGTGTCCATTACTGAGACATGGGTTTGAATGTTAATTTGTTCATTGCAGATAACAAATCTGTTTGCGGTTCTCTAAAGCATTTTGGAAAACATGTGCAAAGCCAGGGGAGATGTTCAGATATACCATTCCATTCTCCTTCCACTGTCATTTTACATTTGACACTGTTTTTTTGTACAGAGGGATCTTAAGTGACACATGGTACATTCTCTTGACATACATATTTCTGAACATCACTGTATGGAAGTCCAATCAAGAAATATTTTATAAATTCAGGGGGAAGAGCCTTGATATTTTTGCTGTGAATGTTTTCAGGTGCTGTTTTTTTTCTTTGTATTTTATATACTTGGCTGCTTCAATGTTTGGGATTGTACCCAACATTCTTACATTTTAAAAGGTCAAATGTGTATACACATGATTTGACTCCCTGAAATTTTTGGTGGACTGGGAATAATTGCGGTTGGCGGTTACAATGACTAGAAATACTTGTGGTTGATGTATTGGCCAGTATTAATGAGGATAATAATATTAACAGTCAGCTCATTTCTTAATCAGTGCTGGCATTTCGGCAGAAGTTGAACTAATGTCTAATATCGGTAGACAAACTCGAGGTTTGGTCTTCTTTCATTATGTAATGTGCTTAAATGTTTATACTGTACTTTTGCAGGGACGGCTTTAGGTACAATGAAACTCCTTGAAGTTCCTGGTAAGACACTGTTTCCTAGTAATGGGATTGTTGAAAAAATAATGGATTTGTTGATTTTATTATGATTAACCACACCACCTTGTTGAAAACGAGAGTTAATTCCAAAGCATTTATGTGTTCATTTGGGGAACTGAGCCTCTGTATATACAGCTTTGTTTATTCCCTGTGCACAGTAACAAATTCTGGTCATCCCCTGACATGTTCTTTTTGTTGTAATAAAAATATTTTGTATCAAACTACTGAAACTGTCTCAGTTTAGGTATTCAAATAATTCATAGTTACATCAATACAAAATGTGACATGGTAGTAACATAGTCATAAAACTTAACGTGCTCATGGATGATGCTAGAGAGACCTG